GTGTGTGTGTGTGTGTGTGTGTGTGTGTGTGTGTGTGTGTGTGTGTGTGTGTGTCCTGGCTCTGTGCTGGCCTTGGCCATGTTAATGTCATTATAGCTGGTGTACAGACGAGAGGCCTGGCCAGTTAGTGGCATTGTTGAGTATCACCTTACGCTTATGCTGCTTCCAGCTGGCCCATGGCTGCCAAAACTTACCGAAATAGTCGCTGTGTGTGTCTGAGTGGGTGTGTGCGCATGTGTGTTTGTGTGTGTGTGTGTGTGTGTGTGCAAAAAGCTGCACACACTTCATTTCAACAGTCAGACAACACTCAATAAGCCTACTGAAGGAAAACAGCAGGTTTTTGAAATGCTGGCTCGTTACTCAGCTTCCATATTATGTGATGATAAACTAAGATCATTTATATGTCCCTTTACAATTTGACAGCATTTAGATAAATTAAAATGTGTCTGTGCTGCAGACTTTATTGGCATACTGACTGCTTTGAAGCACTGCTTTTTTAGAAAGTGAATATACTGTATGATGAATGATGCCTTCAGACAGTAATTGCAAACGGTTTAGAAAAGACTATAAAAAGTTTTTTTCAGTGTAATATCTGTACAGATTACTTTGAGTGGTTTCATCGTGACTTGATTGTGTGTAACATTATCATGTTAAATGAGAAAACAAAGTACTCTTAAATTTTATCTCATTTTGTGGTGATAATACAAACAAATACAAGGGGATACTATCACTACTACTACTACTACTACTACTACTACTACTACTACTACTACTACTACTAATAATAATAATAATAATAATAATAATAATATTAATAATAACAATGACATACGTATTAATAGTTATTAACTGTTATTATAATATGATAGCCATGTATTTTATTGTTTTAAGTCTAATATTGTTTATTTTGTAAACACATAGCGCTTATACAAAAATGTTCTAAACATTTGCTCCTTTACAAATAATCTAATGTACAAATGCATCCTGTTCATTTTATTACTACCGAGGTCTAAACAAAACTAAGAAAAATAATTGTCTTTAATAAAATGATCCCAACATGTTTGCTAAACTTGTATACTATTAAAAGTATGTCTGATAGTTAAACTGTTAGAATACATTTTTCTTAACTGCAAAACTACTAACAATCAATCTTGTACTTTTACCTTCAAGAAAATTCATTCTGCAGTTCCAAAGAGACAGTTAAAACCCTTTGAAGTCGACTTCTGTGAAAGGTTATGATTAGTTAATATCTTACCTGCTGTAGATAGCTTGTTAGAATGACCTCTGTTTGGAGAAACAGATTTTGTTTTGGATCAGACTGATGAGACTGACTCCAAATTGAATTACTGTCTTCTGAACCAGGGGTGTCAAACTCATTTTCACTGAGGGCCACATGAGCATTATAAGCAAAGCACCTCATTTTGGTTTTAAAGGAACAGCATCAAAACGAGTAGATGTGAGACACACTTTAGAAAAGTGGTAAAAGTGGGGCTTGTTGAGTTACAATAAGGAGGAATTCACACCAAAACATTGCAGTTCCACTTTATATAGACCTCAACTGTGTGATTTAAATGTGAAAAAGAGAGTTAAAAGGATAACATGTCTCCTTTAAACTTATTGCCAAGCAAGTTTTTTTCTTTTTTCTCCTTTGATAAAGCTGTTTAACACTGAAGCAAATTTAATCAGTAGAGTGGAGTGACAAAGTTGGGTCTTTTGCAGGAAGTAAACGGTGAAAAGAAAAAATTAGACGATTCCAGGTCTTGATTAAAGGTTGGCATAATTTAGCAGTATTTGAAGGCAGAATCATATACGTTATAATGATGTATCAAGCTGCGTCTGGCACCTGTAAATGGACTGTTAAATGTCTACTTGTTTGAGAACAGAGCCTTGAGGATGGGCAGGGCACTGGTGGGGAGTCAGGAGCTACAAATAGGAGAACTGGTGAACAAAAAAGCAGGAGCAAAGGTCAAAAAGTACAATGAAATGGAGTGAGTGACAACTCTGTCAGCACTCAGTAAAGTCTAGCGAGAGGATGAAAGAAGGGTAGGGGAAGGCAGGAGGGCGGCGAGGACTTAGGAGGCTGCCAAATTTGATTGGTCCGGGAGGAGACAGTAAACGGTTTTGGGTCAACTGGAGGCAGGCTGTGCTGGCAGAGGGAGAGTTGTAACTGTGGTAATGAGCTCAATACAGTATGAATAAAACCACTCACACATACATACAGCGCAAAGTTTGGAGTGTTACCTTAGCAACAATGGAGAGAGGCAGATGCCAAGAAGAGGAGAGACCAAGCAGAACCAAAAATAAAATAAAACAAATCAGATGACTCTTAAATTTAAAAATATACATTTAGAAGCAGATTCAGCAGTGAAAGCAGTGATGAACTGGAACCTTCAGCCACACAGAAGGTTGTTTTTAATGGGGTGCTAGCTTTTCCAAACTGACTGGGGGCATTTTCTCTCTTAGAATAACTTTTTTCTTTTGTTTTTTTGTGCAAGATACATATGGAGTCCGCTAAAAGAAATAAAAGGCGGGTGGGGGGCTATAATTTTTCTCCAAAAAGGCAGCTGTCCAGTTAGAAACCAGCAGGCGCTGCTGGCCAAACCTATTTCAATCTTGACTAAACAAAGGAGAGACAGCTCCTTATTGCATTTGCCGCAAGGACTTTTAAGAAGACCAAAAGTAGACCAACCACAGGCAATATGTGAAATATTGACCCAGGTCTGCTGTTAATCTGCAGTTTGGATCATTCCACCTCTATTGATGCTGTCTTATAGTACTTTTTCCAAAACCACAACTCTCCCCTGCTTTACTTTTCCACTGGTCCCCTCCCAGTCATTGGGAACATCTCGATGTGCTCAGCCTGTTCTGAAATGATGTGCTGAAGGACATCAGAGGTCCACTTTTCAGCATCAGAATGCCAAACTCCATCTTTCCACAGACCGTCACTAAGCCTAAAAATGGAGATTTTCTGTGGATTTGAGTGCTCATTCTTCTCTAAACTAGCTTTCCATTCCCCTCTTCTTTTCTCTTCTGCTCATTCTCTCTCTCTCTCTCTCTCTCTCTCTCTCTCTCTCTCTCTCTCTCTCACTCTCTCTGTCCCTCCTGCTCTTTTTTTTCTTTATTCCTTTGTTTGGTCGGTTGTTTCCTGCGGTGAGCATGGCACTGCCCAGGCACATGTTCTGTGGTGGGCCTGATTACAGCCCTGCTGTAGTGCTGACATTGGCCCGCACCAGCTCCTCATCCATAAACGCACACACATACACACACACACACACTCACACACACACACACACACACGAACACTCACACACACACACTCACACACACACACACACACGAACACTCACACACACACACACAAGCTTGCTGGGCCCTTAAGTTCCACCAACTCTGCCAGCGGCTACCACGGCATGACTTCACCCAGCAACCATTCTTTGCGTCAAACAAAATGCCTCTGTCACCAGAAAAAAGGACGGGAGCTGAAAGGGAAGAAGGGAGGGAGGGGGGAGAGAAAGAATAAGAGAACAGAAGAGTGTGGCTGGGCGGTAGTTTGAAAGTAGTGGGGTCATTTTAGCTAGAAGGCCCGAAGACGAGCTGCTTGAAGAATTTGTCTCAAGCCGATTGGCAGAATCAAAAATTCATTGCAGGAAGCTGGAGAAGACAATAATCAGCACAGTCTTTATTGTCAAAAACGTAATGGTTAAAGCCTCATCAATACTTTGTGTTTCTGTGAGATACTTTAAAAAATGCTTTATTTTTTTAAGGACCAAGACTAGATTTTCCTCTGTACCATTTTCACTCAGTCAGTAATGTGCCATTGCAGAGGCACTGGAGCATGTTCATACTAATTAGCCACTGCTCTGTAATTTCTGTCACCAGTTTTTAATTCCTGTGGAGGAAATGCATCCAAACATGCATCTTAATTGGGAATAGAATGCTACAAATCTTTGTAGCAGTGCATTGTGCGATGTAGACAATATCAATCATTTAAAATATTTTTATTACACACTTTAACCCAAGAAAGAAGCTCTTTAGCTCAGTCACAGAAAATTAGACTTTGCATGGATGGCATGCTATTTTTGCTTTTTACTAGCCTGGTAAAAAGCAGCCCCTTGTTTTACGATTTGCTTCGGAGGGTCTGAACTCTCAGCCATTGAGAAATGATTTCTTGCTGGAGGTGTGGACTCTTTTGAAATTGAAAATGATTGGATCTGATCCTAGGAGTTCCCTAGGAGTTACCCAATCACTAACGTTTGGCTGTGATGCATGTAGTGCGTCAGCTTGACTGTGAAGGAAGCTAAGAAGCGAACCAGAAGTTGTGTGCGCTGTAAACGACCATCCCCTACTGGCAAGAGAAATGTACCGAGCCAAATGAGATGGATGTAAAGGAGTGCTGCAGACTTTGTGAGACAAATTGAATTTAATTTGGAAGCCTTGCCAACACAGACTGAATGATTTCATTCGCTTCCTCACCCAGACTAAACTACAAGCAGGCTAAAACAGTGCAGAAACTCAATATCATCATTCACAACTCCTTCTGTTGGCTGATTGGCCCGGCTGAAATTCTACCAGAGAAACGTCGATGGGAGAAAGGCCAGACGGGGCAGAGAAGGGAGAGTAGAATTGAAGGAAGGCGATGGCCATAACTTTTTACAGGATTTGTCCTTTTTGGAGATTTACCACACGTTGAACTGTTGAGCCGTCTAAACTTTACAATGTTTTTATTAAACAAATTCACTCTAGTTCCAGTCTTTATGATTATTGTACAAGTTGTACAAGAAAATGAAGGCATTTTTGGTTTCTGTCACAGTGTCTCTGATTCCAGTTGGGCCAATAGTTTTCTCTCAAAACCCTCCCAGAACTAAAAGTGCATTTATTGAATTTTTTATAGACTTCACATGAGTTGAGAAGTTTCTTCAAAATTAAAAGTGATCTTTTGAACTTGTCATATCTTCAACATTATGACCATGATCAGCTACTCGTAGCAGCATTAACATTTCACTTTACACTTCTTATACAGTATATTTAGCACAATGTTGCCATCGTGTCAGCTTGGATTATTAGATTATTATTAACTCTCAATGCACTTTTTGTGGATTTATACTGTAAAAAATCTTGATCTATGTTGAAAATATAAGGATTCGTTCAATTGTCACTCTCTAGTTTTGTTGTCACTACCATCTAGGTCTATAATGACCCACTTTGAAGATAAACGTATTCTTTGCTTTCCAGAGAGGTTCAGGTTGTTGTTAAACTGTATAAACCTGCTCTTATTTTGTAGGAGCGACTGCACTACGAGACACTGAGCCAGCACCTCGGGAAGCTCGGGGAGGATGCTGGAAAGATGGTCCATCGAGTCATCGACCTGACGAGACCAGAAGATCTGGATGGTGAGCGACTCCGTCCTCCTTTTATAACACCTTTTCTATATGTATATTTAAAACCTTTTCATTTTTAGTAACTTTGTATGTTTGCAAGTCACAACTTTATGCCATGAAAAGAAAGGCATAAAAAGGACTGGAGGATTGCTTTGCTGAGTCACACAGCAGTTTTGTTGGAGTTACAAGATGATTGAAGAGGAACACTGTCTGAATTCTTATGGAGTTAGTAAGAAGTATTTCATGCAGCAAGAAATCCTGTCAGTGAATGTGGTCGAAGCACACTCTAAACCACCTGTTTCCAATAAAACTCCACTAAAAACTCTGCTGTTTACAGGAGATGAGAAGCTGAGTACTCATCGTGATTTAGATTTGAGTCAGGAGATAAACACAGGAGCCTTTGGGCTCAGACTGCATCAGGCAGAAGCAAAAGCCTCAAAGTGAGCAACGTTTGTGTCAGGATGTGGAGAGCATCCCATAAGGACTCTACTTAACAAAGAAGGCAACGAAAAGCAGCCATAAAGAAAAAAAAATACAAACTCAATCTTGTTCTATGTACCAACAGCTGCAGAAGGTGAAACAGTGAACTTCAGGCAAATGCGACTTAAATTGCATTTTTTTTCATGACAGTCGGAACGTGACAAATCAATTTTTTTCAAATCTGACCCAGGTCATTTCAGTACCAAATCTGAGACATGGTCAATGTTTGTTTCAACGTGACCTCACTCTGAATGCTCATGTTGCATTTCATCCAACATTTAAATCAGTTAGGTGGGGGCGGTTAAGTAAAGATGGCACACAAATCAATCTAAGTATTTAGAATATTGATACCAACCTTATGTAGTTTAAATCTTGCACATCTTAGGCTACAAAACAAAAGTCCAGTTGACCTCATCTTTTTTCTTTTAATTTTCCAGTCCTCGATAACTGACAATCCACATAAATACATTCTCAAATCATATCGATACTAAAGTTACTGGACCTGTACTTTGGTTAGTTTTATTTTCAGCGCATTGCTCCTCTTCCAAAAATACATGCTGTTCTGGCAAGAGGCAGTTTTAAATGTAATAACAATACAAGCATAGCAGGTAACTAATTGGCTCTGATTGCACAACTTCAGAATCGATCCAAGCTAACATAGCATCCATATTTACTTCTGTAAACGGCGAGCTGAATCATCTTCTGCATCAGTGCTGTGGAGAGTTCATACTGAAGCTTAATGGAGGTCGCATTTAAAATACTGTATAATGCTGTAGTCCACGCAAAAAACTGGATTTGAGCAAAAAAATTGCAATTGAGCTTCAAAACCTGCAGTGTGACTGTCGCTTAGTACTTAGTACTTAGTACTTAGTACTTGTAGCTTAACTTATTCATGTAATGATAAGCAATGAGTTTGATAGATACAACATTGTTGTGTCTTTGTGTTTGTCTCTCTCAGGGAGTAATGTCACAGAAGCACGAGTGTTCAGGGAGGCACGAGGGAGGAACAACAGCGAGCCCCACATCAAGAGGCCCATGAACGCCTTCATGGTCTGGGCTAAAGACGAGAGGAGGAAGATCCTGCAGACCTTTCCCGACATGCACAACTCCAACATCAGCAAGATCCTGGGTGAGACGTCACACATCTGTCATTTTCATTTTGAGCAGCTCTCACGCTCGGTTCTTTGGTGGAACGTTCAGTTTTTGTGACATTCTTGTCAAAAAAGACATTATTGTCTAAAAACAACATGGCAGTGTTTTTATTTAAAAATGAATAAAATGATACAATCGAAGTGAAAAGCTGTACATGTAACAGTCACACATTAAGTTCCCCTGCTACTATACCTCACAGTTCACAGGGTTTCTTACCAACAAGTTGCAGATTATGAGGACTGATGTGTTTTTGCAGCCAGGAACACTCCACACATAGAGGTCCAGTGTATCACCTGGTGTGATGGATGCATTCAGTTCAAATCCACACGGACTCTAACCTCCTCAACACAGATATCTATTCACGCGGCACTAAGCGAAACGGTTGTTCTTGAACCGTTCCTAAGACCTCGGATGTCGAGGTAGTGGCCAGCTGAATGTAAATGAACAAACTGCTTTTTCTTAGGCGGGTCTGTGTTGTTGATGTGGATTTTGGAATAAAGAGACACTTTGTGTCCCGAAAACTGTTTCCTGGATTCATGGGAGCAATGGTTTGCGCTTTCATAACTTACAAATATGATGTGACAAACTATTTTATTTAATGTGTGAAAGGTCAGGCAGCACAGTGGCTCAGTTGGTAGATTTGTCTCTCAGCTAGACGGTCGCTGGATCGAATCCCGGCCCGGGGACCCTTCTGGGTAGAGTTTGCATGTTATCTCTGTGCATGCATGGGTTTTCTCCAGGCACTCCAGCTTCCTCCCACAGAAACATGACCGTTAGGCTAATTGATAATTCAAAAAAAATTGTCCCTAGGTGAGAATAAATGATTGTTTGTCTCTATGTGTCCCTGTGATGGACTTGTGACCTGTCCAGGATATGGACCCCTGTGACCCTGAAAGGAAAGTAGCAGGTATAGATAATAGACAGGTGGGTATTAAAAGTCTCTTTTTAGGTGAATCATAATAGTAATTTATTTAACAGTAATAAATAATGAGATCTCCTGTGGCAGGAAGCTGAATAGATGATAATTATTCTGGATCTTTATTATGTTTGTGAGACAAGACTGAAACAAAAAAAAATGTGTACATGTTTAGAACTTAACATACACAAATTCTCCAACAGTAAAACACAGCTGGACTTTGGGGAGAAGCTGGGTGGCGGACTTAAAAAAAAGGACAAATAAAACAAGTATACTGTGTTTCCTGTGTCACAAAAATACAAGAAACATTTGCGATAAACCTTGGTAAACAGTGGAGTGAGGCAGAGTGTGTATTACCCCAGATGTTCCTGCAATAATGGCCTTGTTCACATGTTCCGATGGTCAGAAGAAGTACACAGTGTGTTACCCTTCCTGCTGACATGGAGCAAAAAATAAGGCACTCTTTGGTTTTAAACAGACTCTGATACTTGGAGGTGTCTTGTCACTTTCAGACATCTAGGCTTGAGAAACCACAAGGGATGACAAAGTGATGACTCAGCTGTTGTACTAAAATAAGTTTGTAACAATGGGCTCCAAAGATACTCCATGCTTTAGGAATAACCTTCTGATACACAAAAAGTAAAAAAAAATCTTTACTTTGCGCTCCAGGTTCCCGCTGGAAAGCCATGACCAATCAGGAGAAACAGCCGTACTACGAAGAGCAGGCCCGCCTAAGCAAGATCCACTTGGAGAAGTATCCCAACTACAAGTACAAGCCCCGACCCAAGAGGACCTGCATCATCGACGGCAAGAAACTGCGCATTGGCGAGTACAAGCAGCTGATGCGCTCACGTCGTCAGGAGATGAGGCAGTTTTTTGTCGGGTGAGTGCAGTGTACTGTGTACTGTGGGATCAACAAAGTTTTATCTTATCTTATTTTATCTTAAAAACAGTTTTTAGTCAGTAGATAACTGTGTTGTTGCTATGAAACTACAAACATGGCCGAACGGGGTGGAGTCGAACGCTCAGCGACCTGGAGGGGGCGGGGTGTGAAATATCTCACTTGTATTTAAAGAGACCGCACCAAAACAGCTTGCTCTKAGGYRCAACTCAGAACAGGGGTAAAAGCAAGGAAAGCAAGGAGTCTGTGGAGCAACAAAAACGAGGAATTAAGACCAAAGCGTTGCAGTTTTATTTTAAATAAACCATAAGTGAATGATTTAGACGTGAAAAAGAAGGATTTAAAAGCATGATATGATACCTTTAAGAGCTGATTTAGTCTTTTTCTAAGCGAGTGAGCGCCTCATCTGAGGACTTTTTCCTTTATATATATACAAGGTTTGCGGAGTGACCACACAAGTTTATGGGCCCTTTTATAAAAGGTTTGGAACCTCTCGCCACTCTATCTGCAAAACCTTTAAATGCTTGCCAAAGAACATTAGACATTTTTTGAGTGTAGCTGGTGCAGAAAGGAAAAACAGTGGCATTGTCTTAATAGGAACCAGTCAGGGATGTGTTTAAAGCCATCACAGCGGTCTGCGTTTCAGATGGATTTAGCAGAGGCCGCAGCTTGAATAGGAGTGATTTTTAATCGCTTGTCATTTATTAAATTAGGACAATGCCGAGTGCTTGCGGGCAGTGAAACTGGAGACAGACAGACAGAGTAGAATATGAAATGTAAGCAGATGTTTAAGAGAAAAAGGCAGACGTCACAGGCTGAACACCACATTTACTGCGTGTGGTCAAGTAAATGCACAAAAAAAAAAAAAGGCTCACATTCTCCAGGGCTGGACTTTTGGGTGAAGCTACACAACCAGTTTCTGGCACATTTTCCCCAACTGAACCAGCATTTTTTCTTCTTCTTCTTCTTTTTTTTTTCCTTAAGCATTTAATGTGAAAATATGTCTGTCAGAGAATACAGAGGCAGGAGACAGAGGAGGGAAAACTATTGGGTGGGAAACATGAGCAATTTTCCCACTTGATGTGGTTCATTTGAGGAGCCAGAGGGCCCGTTTGAATGATGGGCATTTACTCTCATTCCATCTATATCATAACAGGCTAATGAGCTGATGCTGCTGGGAGCTGGCAGGTAGAGCTCCAGGTTCAGGCATGCTTCTCAAGATGAAAAGCGTAGCATTTAGACTTTAGTGGCTTCTCGATTATTGTTTTGTTCCATAAAGACCAACGCATTTTCCAGGAAAAGCTTAATGGTTTTATGGAAAACATTATACATTTAAAGTAATGATTTAAACATTTTATATATAGTTTGTTTTAGTTATTTACCTTTACTGTTAGAATTCATTTCCTACTGCGCAGCAACCACATTAGGTACTCCAGCTAAAATAAGGATTGTGTTATTTGTGTTGTGAGCTTGTTTACAGCTTGTTTTCAATGTAAAATAATATATAAAAAATGTCAAGTATCCAAAGAAATTATAGATTTTTTCCATGAATATCCCAAAGTTTAATAGTCATGTAGCTATTTAATTTCTCCAAATAACATTGGTTAAAATAATGTCTTTAGGATAAAATGATATTAAAAAAAGAAAGAATAAAAAATAAAGAAAACCTTGAATAGTCTATGAATCAAAATATTAATGATAATAATAGTTTTCAACCCTTGCTACACATAGTTGATTAATTTGCAAAACTTTATGTCAAAAAGTGAATTAAAAAAATTAAATGTGTTTCATACTTTTACTATTTTTGTGCTAGAAAGTATAACAAATATGTAACTATTTTGTTCATTTTTTAACAGTTTTTTATGTCTGACTCATTTACGGTAGTTCTGACTGTTGCTGTTCAAGTTGATCATTTGCTGTTAAGCTTTTTTTTCTTAGGAAATAAGAATATCTAAGAAAAATTAAGCTTTGACTGTTTGGGAAAACTTTTAGCTATGATCAGATTGTTTTTTTCTTTGTGATTTGATGAACTGTTAAAGTTTTGGTGACACATCATGATGGTTGGCATATTTCAACATTTTTGCTGAAATTCCTGCTTCTTGCCCAGGCAATTTTTTTTCTTAGGATAAAAAAAGTGTTTAAATATATTTAGAGTATTTGTCAATATGGATCCAAGGCTTAGTTCACACACCACTCTACTACTTTTCGAAATTAATGTTTTTATTTCATAAACTTTGTTTTTGGTCCTTTGCGAAGACTGGAAATATGAGGCTTTTAAGCATCAATTGCAGCAAACTATTTTTGCATGCCCAGTTTCCCTTTGTGCCCTAGAGAAGGGGTCCCCAAACTGTTCTATGACATGACCCCCAACTAACCCCCACCTCTACCCCAAACTGCATTAACTTCTGGCCCCACTTGCAACGCTACAAAATATGTAAAAAAAACATCAACTTTCAGAATGTTTTTTTCCCTTTTATTTATTTATTTATTTATTTATTTATTTATTTATTTATTTATTTATTTATTTATT